TTTTCTTGGTCTTTTTCTCCTTTGTTTCTCCGATAGTATCTTGGAATTTTTAAATGAAATTTACTGATTTTGTGTTTGTGGGGTATGAGTGTGCCCCAGCATGCATAAGCGGTCAGAGAACAACTTGGGAATTGGTTCTCTCCATCTACCACGTGGGTCTTGGGATCCAACTTGGGTCTTCAGACTTGGAGACAAACACCTTCCAGACTGAGCCGTTCTCCAGTGGTGCCTTCATTCCATCCAGGTATGGTTGGTTCTCTCTGCTCTGGGGGCTGTCTTGCGTCAGGATTTTGCAGACATATTTGCAGAAGTGCTGGAAATTACACAGAGAGCACAGGATTGCTCTGTGACTGGGGAAGTGATTTCTTTTGGTAGTTGCTCCCCCCCCCACCCCCAGTCAGCAGAGAACTGTAGCTGTGGACTTCTCTCCTCCTGCTGGGCCTTTGCTCTGTTGCCTGCGAAGCAGGAAGGCGGGTTGTGGTTTCCTCTGTTTCCCATCCTTCCCATTCCCTGAGAGGCCAAAGGCAGTTCCTGACACCAAACTGCACATCCTATGCCCAGTGCCCTTGGTTAGACCATTGGATTCTTCCTCCAGGAATCCCAGCTGCTCTACAGGCTTTCCCACAGCCCTGACCCGCAAGGTACCTTCTCGAGGTGTTTTAGACTGGCTTTGATCTGGGCTGCTGTGGGCCGCCTCTGATTGTGTTTGGCAGCCTTCCCTCCTAAGCTGTGGTTTGGGTTACAAACGTGTCCAGTTTTGCTGAAGAGGACCTTTGCATTTCTATTTCTTTCTCCTTGATTTTGGGTGATTTCAGATCAGAACATGAGTAATTTTATTCTGCCGCCTTTCAACTATCGAGTGTTGGGGATTTTTGTGATCGAGTATTCTCTCAGATCAAATGTCACCCAGAACTTTTCCAAATAGAGTTGATGCCAGCTGAAGCAGAGGCCTAACAACAGAAAGGGAACAACATGGGAGAGGAGACTAAAATTGGAGAGTTAAAAACACGTGTGTTCATGCTGAGTGGCAGCAGGGGAGTCCTTCCTTCCCTTCTTCACTCTGGTTGGGGTGTGCTTCTGTCAGGGTGGAGTAGTAGACTTTCCTGTCAGTGAGAAGCACCTGAGACAACAGCCTGAGAGGAGAAGGGTTTGTTTTGGCTCAGAGTCCCCGAGTTTCAGTTCATAGTGGCAGAGGGCATGTGCGGGAGGAGGGAGGCTCTGATGGCGAAGGCCAGAAGCACACAGGGTACCAGAGGTGCCCCTGTCTGTCCTCCCAGACACTTTCGGTACAGTGACAATGACACTCATGGTTATCATGGGGCTAAGGAGATGGCTCAGGCAGTAAAGTGTTTGCTGTACAAACACAAGGACCTGCGCTTGATCCCCAGAAGCTATGTAAAAAAAGCCAGGCATGGTGGTTTGTACTTTAAATATAAACCCTGGGGAAGTGGAAAAGGTGACGGATCCCTGGGATTTGCTGGTCAGCCAGCTTAGCCTATTCCGTGAGTTCGAGGCCAATGAGAGACCCTTATTTAAAAAATAAGGCAGATGGCACCTGAAGAATACATTTAAGGTTGGTCTGTGGGTTACTTACACATATGTGCATATGCACCTGCATACATACATGCACCCGGACCTACACACACACACACATACACACACACACACACACACACACACACACACACATATACACACAGGTGTGCGTACATACACTCAAGAAAAAGAAGTAACTATCACAAGTTCGCCTCTTATCAATTAATATGCAGGTTACAACATTTCACCTCTGGCTCTCAAAAGGCTCAATTCTGTCTCATAATGTCTTAACATGCTTTTAGTCTCTCTCATGTCTCCCCAGAATCTCAACAGTTGCAACATTGTTCAGGTCCAAATTATCCTCCGAACCTCCATGCACATGTTCATCTGTAGGTCCCTGCAAAATCCAAAACAAGTCACATGCTCCCAAGATATGACGGCACAGACTGAACATTCCCATTTCAATAGACGGTGTCAGGGAACAGAAAGGACGGAACCAGAACATGACTTAAACCTCTTAGGGAAAACATGGGGTACAAGGTGTCATAATGTCCACTTTGGAAGGCCCCAGCACCCTTGGGTCTATGACATTGTCCCTTGCAGCTCCCCTGGCCTCTCTGTTGGCCGTCTCTGCTCACTGCCTGCTGCCTTCTTCAACAGACATCCCGCCTTCCTGCGTCTTTGGCTTCACCATCATGGTTTTCCTGCATCACGGTTGGCTTCATGCATCCCCCTCCTGGGGATCCCTTGCCTGCAGGAATTCCATGCCTGTCACAGACTGTCTGGCCACCTAGGCCATCCATCAAACCTCTGTGATGCAATAGTTCTTGCATCCTGCATGCCTGTAAAACCAGCATGGTGGGTTATGCTAGATTTCCTGCCTCCTCAGGCGATAGCCGGAGCACCTTGGCTCCTGGCTGAAGTGGCCTGGGAGTACCTTCATGATTGGAAACAGAGACTATTTATTTCCTAAGTACCTGGCGAAGGCAGGGTGCCCTGGAGTTGGCTTCTTGGGACAGAGTCTTTCAAATAAGTGAAAACCTTCACACTCTGGAGCCAATTCCTGAGATGCTCTCAAGGCATCCTACTGGTTGTCCTGATGTCCCTCGATAATGGCGCTAACCTAGCGTTTCTCAATCTGTGGGTCGTCATCCCTTGTGGGGATCGAACGACCTTTTCACAGGGGTCGTGTATCAGATAGCCTGCATATCAGCTATTCCCTTTACTGCTCATAACGGTAGCAAAATCATAGTTATGATGTAGCAATGAAAATAATTTTATGGTTGGGGTCCCCACACCATGAGGAACTGTTTTTTAGAGGGTTGCAGCATTAGGAAGGTTGAGGATCACTGCTCCAATCTCTTTAGAGGCCTCACTGTTGTGGCTTCTAAATCTGTCATTTTTCTCATTGCTCTGGCAACCCTGACAAAAGCATCTTAAGGAAAGGGTTTGTTACTGCTTGACACAGTTCCTGGTGGTGGAGAAAGCTGGGTGGCAGGACTGAGGGACAGGCTTCTTAAGTGTCTGCCTCTTCCTGCTCTGTATTTGCTCCCAGACCGCACTGTGAATCTGGCTGAAGAGCCAAACTTAGCCCCAGCCTGAACACTGTGCTGCCCTGAGAATTCCTCCCTGAAATTAATTCATTCCTCACCTTTAAATTCAACCTCTGTAAAATCTCAGGACATGGACAAAAATGTGCACAGCTTCCGTGCCAATGGGTAACACAAACGGCCTCAGTTCAGTTCCCATGAGGCTTTGTTTCTGCCTAGAACTGGATGAGATAGATGCCTTTGCTGTTTGTTGGCATTCCTCTCGGCAGCTTGGTCTCCTCAGGTCTCAGAATCACCCATACAGCTGTACTTACAGAATTCTAGGATTTTTCTGGCTGGCTTCTCCAACCTTTGCTGAATTCTTCCTGCAAATTAGTCCCATGGACTTCTCTACCACGTGATCAGATATAGTCACAGCACCGGCCACACCTCGGCGTCAGTTTTTCTGCGTTTGTCAGCCTTCTGTGCTGTGACAGAACGCTGACAGAATGCAGAGGTTTCTCTGGTTGTCGTGGCAAAGAGGGTATGCCCAGCACAGCCACTCCAATCATGATGATGGCAGCCAGGAAGGTGGGGAAGAGAATGTGCCTACAGTTGGCAGCTTTCCCTTTCCCACCTTGTATTCTGAATTGCCAGCCTATGGAAAGGTGCTGCCCACATTTAGGGCGGGCCTTCCACCCTGGGTTAGTGCTTTCTAGAAACGTCCTGGCAGATATACCTAGAGGTGAGCTTTACTGATCTCATAGGTACTTCTGAAGTGGACACTGGAGATGAACTATGTGTCACCAATAAGAAGTCATGGGCAGGTGAGACAGAACATGGGGGCATTCTGTCTTCTCACTGGTCCTGGAGAAGTCCTGAGCCAGGATGCCCCCAGGCTAAGGAAGAAGAAGAAGGCACACACCTGTCCTCTGCCAGCCGCGAGAGTCAGGTGGGGCAAAGCTCAGCCTTCCTCTTCCCATACTTAGGACCATCTCAGCACCCCAAAGTCTCTGGGGCCCAAATGATCCTACTGTGTCCAGTTCCTCGGCCTCCTGGAAAACTGCCGTCTTTGCCGCGAGGGATACTAACTGGGATAAATGTTAGCAATGATGCTTCTATGCCCAGGGAAAACACTGGTATGTCCAAGAGAAATAATTCCCTGTGGAATGCCTGGAGAACAAAGCCAAGAGGACCCCTGTCTCCAGAGTCCCAGGTCTGAGCTTTTAGCGTATCGCCTTTCAGATTCTCATCATACCACCCGAATGGGAGGTGTTGTATCCCATCTTACAGAGGGATGTGTGTCAGCGATGTCTGGCTCCACAGTTTGGGTGAATCAGCTCCCTTTTCCTCTTTCTTTGTCATTTATTTTCCCGTGGCGACAACACACTACCATCTTCAAGTAGTTGTCCCTGGGTGACCCCGCCAAACTGTGTCTTGCTCTGTGTCTTGCTTCCCAAACCTGGTTCCATTTTAAGATATATATATATATATTTTTAAGCTCCAGATAACTGGAGCTGCAAACCCATGAGCCACATGCTAAGTGTGTATGACCCCATGTCTCAGCACTCCAGTTTCTTGGGGTTCCATTCCTCTTGCGACAGCGATTTCCAGCGGTTACTCTGGTGCCAAGAACAGACTCTAAGAGCAAAGTTCCTTGACTCTTGGCTCAGTCACTTATTACCTGTGAGACTGGCTAATTACTGACTTCTTTAAGATTTAGATGAACGGGGAAACCTTAATCATTAAGGATGGTGTCTGCCGTATCTCATGTACTTGGAAAGTACCAGATATGAAGTACCATTAATTATTATGCGCATTAATTATGTGGTAGGGCCTTACAAAGGGCCCTTCCAAGGCCTAGGTATAAATGAAGGGACGAATAGCTGACTGTTGATGCTTCTGTCGTAACTTGTGCCCTTTGCTTCCTTCCAGGAGCTTGGGCCCCTGCCACAGCCCAGCAGAGGCTGTAGAGATCAACCATCAGGAAGCCTGGTTCCCAGCCCCGGGGTCCATCCCTGGCTGTGGGGAGTGGAGGCTCCCACAAGGTAGCAGTGGCTCGAAGTGGTCCCCTCCCCATAGTGAGCCATGGGCCAGAAGCTCTCTGGGAGCCTCAAGTCTGTGGAGGTGCGAGAGCCAGCTCTTCGGCCTGCCAAGCGGGAGCTTCGAGGCTCAGAGCCCGGGCGGCCAGCGCGGCTAGACCAGCTGCTGGACATGCCTGCGGCAGGGCTGGCTGTGCAGCTGAGACATGCCTGGAACCCCGAGGACCGCTCGCTTAATGTCTTCGTCAAAGATGATGACCGCCTCACCTTCCACCGTCACCCAGTGGCCCAAAGCACGGATGGCATCCGCGGCAAGGTGGGCCATGCCCGGGGCCTGCACGCATGGCAGATCCACTGGCCAGCTAGGCAGCGGGGTACCCATGCTGTGGTGGGCGTGGCCACGTCCCGTGCCCCTTTGCACTCAGTGGGTTACACCGCACTGGTGGGCAGCGACTCTGAGTCATGGGGCTGGGACTTGGGCCGCAGCCGCCTCTACCACGATGGCAAGAACCGACCTGGGGTGGCATACCCTGCTTTCTTGGGGCCAGATGAGGCCTTCGCTCTGCCAGATTCCTTATTGGTCGTGCTGGACATGGACGAGGGCACGCTCAGCTTCATCGTGGACGGCCAGTACCTGGGCGTGGCCTTCCGTGGCCTCAAGGGCAAGAAACTGTACCCGGTGGTGAGTGCCGTGTGGGGCCACTGCGAAGTCACCATGCGCTACATCAATGGCCTTGACCGTAAGTGTGCTGGCCTAGGTGGCAAGGGGTGCAGAGGCCTCCTGCCCCAGAAGAGTTGGGGAGCGGGTAAGCAGTGCAGGGAGAGCTGCAGTTGGGGAGCACTGCCCTTTTCAGTAGTGATCAGGGCATGGTTTTGAATTTGGTCTTTGTCAAAGGCTTTGCAGTTTGGAGGCTATGTCTCAGTTTTCCCATCTTCAAATGGCACGGAGGTCATGATCAAACTCAGGGCACTCGGGGGTCACATGGCCATACTCCAACTCAAGGCACTCGGGGGTCACATGGCCATACTCCAACTCAAGGCACTCAGGGAGGTCACATGACCATAGTCCAGCGCAGGGTGGTCACATAGCCAAACTCCAACTCAGGGCATTCAGGGAGATGGGGGTCACCTAGAATCATATGTGTACTTAGAATAGTAAATGCGCTTGATAAGGGCTGTGCGTGCCAAAGAGATTTAGGGAATGACCCAGCCTAGTCCCTGCTGGAGAGCATCACCACTGCCCGGCCCCTGGGTGGGAGTCCAGCTGTCAGAAAAGAAGTAGCGTTAGCAACTGTCACTTATTGCCGCCTACTGGATGCAGCTTTGAACACCCAGATCCCAGCCCCTTCTGGCAGCTGTCAAAGGAGGTAAACTACTCTCCCCTCCAACGGACTGTGGAAATGGAGCCCTGGGCTATGGAAATTGGCCCCTTTTCCAGACAACCAGAAATCTAGATCCTGTGACCTGCCCCGGCAACTGCTAACGACTCTGGTTGAAGTGAAACTCCTCTGTGGGCTGTAGGTCTCACCCTAGAGGCACCTAGGCCTCCTTTATTCACAATGCATAACCTATCAGGTAGTTGAAAAGTTAATTAGTGCTGGGAGGGGGGCAGTGCAGGCCTTTAATCCTAGCACTTGGGAGGCAGAGACAGGGAGGAAAGGTAACCTCTAGGAAAGACACACATGGCTACTTGGCCCATCCCGAATCCCAGGGCTTGGTTGGGCTTGCTCACACATAACAGCTATTGTGGTTTAAACAATGGAATGTCCCCCATAGGCTCGTGTTTGAACTCATCCCCTTCAGGGAGTGGAACTCTGTGGGAGGAAGGAAGTTGATCATGGGGTGGGGTGGGGGAGGGGATCTTGAAGGGTTTCTTTTGTTGTTTGAAACAGTGTTTCCCTGTGTAGCCCTGCTGTCCTGGAACTCACACTGTAGACCAGGCTGGGCTTGAACTCACAGAGATCCTCCTACCTCTGCCTCTCAAGGGCTGGCGTTAAAGGCGTGCGTCACAACCACTCGGCAGATCTTGAGTTTTTATAACATGGCTTCTTCACTTAATGTCAGCTTTCTGTTTCCTGACTGCAGATGTCTTGGGACCAGCTACTTCCTGCTCCTGCCGTTTGCTATACTTTCCTTGTCATGGGGACCACATAGTTTGTGAGCCAAGATGATTTGCCCTGAAGTTTCTTCCTGTCAGGGGTTAGGTCACAGCAGTGAGAAAAGTGACAGTCTGCCAGTCTGCCAGTCTGCCAGTCTGCCAGCAACCATCTATAGATGTCTTCCCTACCAAATCTTACAGAAGTGAGCGCTTGCAGCCCCATTTCCAGGGTTCATTCTAAATGAGAGGTATAGTTGCCAGCCAGTATGGCTGATTCTGTACACCTTTTTCTCTTTTGAAAGACAGAGAAAAGCAAACAAGCAAACAAAAAACCTAAAGCACAGAGCCCTGAACCATAAGCAGGATCCTCCTAGGTCTGTTGGCCTCTGAGATCAGCCATTTTCCCATGTTCCCCTCTTCAATTGACAGCCCAAGAGTAACATTCCAGAAAAGGAACCACGGGCAAGGTTTGACTTGTGTGTTTGCTTGAGGAAAATATGGGCTGACGGTTTGAGGGTGGTAGGCCAACACAAAAGTGGCCAGAGCTCCCAACTCCAGTGTAATTGGCAGCGTTTTTACTGGCGTTTGTTTCTGTGGTTGTTGGACTAAGGTTAACAGTGGAATGATGCTCCGTTTTCTGTTGAACTGTAAGTCCCTGGAGCAGATGAGTCTGCTCCGAGCAGGGTGATCATCGTGGTGCTTTGTAGGAAGTGTCTGGAATCCTCTTAGACATGGCGATGAGGAGACAATGGCACCAGTGGGCTCTCTGGCCCAACTGGGACGCTTACTGCTGGAATTAATTTGTGCTTGCGCTGAAGCTCCGGAGGGTGTGTCCCATCCCTCTGGAAGTCCCTAGCTCAGTGGTTCTGTCTCTAGTGAGACACTCGAATTCCCTAAGATCCACTCTATTCATCTGTAAAATGGGACATGGGATCCCTTTCTTAGCTTGGATGTTGGCATCAATTGTTTGAAATTAACAGCAGGGGGAGCTATGAAAGCCTAAAAAAGAATATTTCCTTTCGGTTATTGACCACTCTGGCTTATTAGTTGGTATTCAACAACAAAACTAAGTCACTAGCATATTGTTCCCGTGGCTCCCTTGTGGCTATTAGAGTCGGGGATCTCCTGTGTTACTGAAGGAGGCTGGGTGGGAAAGACAGTTGTGTTTGATGCATTTTGACCTCATGGGTCCTTTGGATAGTTTTATCTCTTTTACCAGTAGCTGGGTTTTTTCAGGCTGGCAGAATCTGGAACAGGACTCAGGAGGTGCAGGCGAGTACAGGGTAGGGCTGGGATAGTGGAGCAGGTTGTCATGATGCAAGCCTGTAACATCTCCTGTTTGATGACCAGGTGAGTTTTCCTGGCATTGTGCTGGGGGATCTGAGTCAAACCATTTCCCTCCATGGGAATGCATGGTGGAACCTGGCCCAGATCACCCTCTGTATATACAACATAGCTCTTTCCCAATCAACTCCCAGCCCTTGGACCCCACTGTAGCACAGGCTACACCACATAACCCAAGGCTTGTCCCAAGCTAAGCTTCCCTCTCTGCCATCATACCTCTACCCAAGGTAGAGGATGCCAGTCTTGTCTGGAGGACAGCCCAGTAACCTTGGAGTTACTCCTTCCTCAAAGCCTCAGTGTCCCCTCTTCAGCTTGGGGTGATCAGACACACCAGCACTAAGCAGATACCTAGTAGGTGGAGTCCATTGCTGCAATTAACTAGCTGGGCTGAGGAGGTTCTGGGGGTCACAAATCAAATACACAAAGTGGCCTCTGTAAAGCATTTTCCTCTAATGCAGTGGAAGTTGTTAATGGATAACTCCTTTTCAATTTATGATTTTTATGACTGTAAAAGCAAGCCTTAAAAGGTCTTACCACACTGAACCCTGAAGCACGTGTTGGACGGACAAGAGCTCCTGGCAGTGCAATTTCCTCTTGCAAATGCATGATGCCCTGGAACCTCTCATGGGTAGAATTGTTCTTTTATTACATGGCAGAATGATATGGCTTAGCGTCTTAGGTTTTCCTGCAAAGACCCGGAGGACGCTCAAAGGTCTGTAACCGAGACAGCTGAGGTGTGTGTAGCTGAAGTGTATGCAAACCAAGCCAGGCACATGACTAGGCTGTGTCAGTTGTCCAGACCCAACCTAGTAATAGCAATAATAATACTAGCTAGAAGTATCTCATCCTGCTGGGCTCTTTTCTAAGCCCTTCATAAAATTAATCATTGAAATACTCTTTAAGTGAATATATGGATAATCATCTTTGATGCACCCTGAAGGAATTGATGGTCAGTGAAGTTGAGCAAGTTGCCCAAAACCACACAGCTCATAGCTGAGGAACCTGGATTTAGGTTGAGGCAAATGGTGTGAGACTCTTGTGGGGACCCTAGCAGACAAGGCAGGGGGAGCCGACAACTCAGGAGGGTCGGCTCCACCTGACTTTGTGGCCCTCTGTGGTAAACTTAGCTGAGATCCTGCCATGCTATCTCTGTTGCTTTTTCTCCTTTGCTTCCTTCCCGGCCTGCAAAGATCTCTGCAGAGTGCACTGAAAGCTAGGCAGGGTGCAGAGGCCGACTCTGCTGCTTGGAATCAGGTATGCTTTATCCCTGAGTGGGGGAGGATACCCCATCTACTCTCACACTCACCCCTGGACTGCCCTAACCCAGTGTCTGGACTTGTTCCCTGGCCTGAAGGCTCCTCTTCCACAGTCTGGTGACTGAGTGCTAACAGAAGGGTGTTGTCTTGGAGTTCCTGCGTGGTGAGTGGGATATAAGAGACATGGGTGGAAGCAAGGAGCCCCAGATGGAGGCCAACATCCTTGGGGGCCTCAACAGCTTTGATATAGGGGGACTAATGGTTCTCTTTGTCAGGGGAACCCATGGGCTATACTGTAGGCTAAACATTTTACTCTGGTGTTGGGTGTGTGCTGTTTTGGGGGTGTTCTACACAGAGGGCCATTGATGCTCAGGATTGACTTTTGGTTGAAGAGCAGAAGCACAGGTGTGGTGTCCTGGGACCAGCTGGCCGTGAAGGCCTGTCCACTTGTGCCAAGCAGAAGAAGCTATATTTCCAGTCGTCTTTCCTAGATGGTTTAATCGATCTGCCAACAAGTATTTATGGGCGCAGCAGTGCAGCAGTGGAGGCTGGCAGCCAGCCAGCGCTTCCGGTATTGATGGGGACCAGAGAGGTTTTCCACAGGATGACTGCAAGGGCACCCTCCCCTTGTCAGACTGTGTTCCTGCTCTGTGTGGAGCCCACCACCCTCCTGCTCAACACTCAGGAGTCTTGTGTGGGCAGCGAGGTTCTCCAGACTTCGCTGATGACAGGATGTGGCTCCTCCACCATGTTTGAGCTCCTCATCCTCTCTCAATTTGTCACCCCAGCTCACTACAGACCAGAGAGACCCTGTCCCCAGCCCCCACTCAGTGGGTTTGTCCTTTTTGCTCAAGTGATGGAGACGTGCTCAGGCAGGGGTGGTGGCCAGGGAAACATCTGTGACAGGTGGAAACCATGGGAACTTAATACATTTATGATCCTTTTAATCAGTAAAGATGAGGGCTGGATAGCAGCTGTCAACAATACACAGAGTTGTACGTTGAAGCATCCCGCCACAGTCTCCAGTCCCCGGCCACCTCGC